GAGATTCCAGTTGATGAATGACGTTTGCTATGAGAAGGTGATTAGTATTGCAGGAAAGCATCAGGTGCTTATTTTTGTCCATTCAAGGAAGGAAACATCTAAAACAGCTCGTGCGATACGGGATACTGCACTTGCTAATGACACCCTTGGTAAGTTTTTGAAGGAGGACAGTTTAACTCGGGAACTTCTACAGTCGCAAACTGAGCTTGTGAAGAGCAATGATCTCAAAGATCTTTTACCATATGGTTTTGCTATTCATCATGCGGGGATGGTTAGAACTGATCGGCAACTTGTGGAGGATCTTTTTGCTGATGGCCATGTGCAAGTGTTGGTTTCAACAGCCACTTTAGCATGGGGTGTCAATTTACCTGCACATACTGTGATTATAAAAGGTACCCAGATTTACAATCCTGAGAAAGGAGCATGGACTGAACTCAGTCCTCTTGATGTTATGCAAATGCTTGGTCGCGCTGGACGTCCTCAGTATGACACCTATGGTGAAGGAATCATATTAACGGGCCACAGCGAATTGCAATATTATTTGTCCCTGATGAATCAGCAGCTGCCAATAGAAAGTCAATTTATCTCCAAGTTGGCAGATCAGTTAAATGCCGAGATTGTCCTCGGGACTGTGTTGAATGCCAAGGAAGCATGTAAATGGCTCCTGTATACTTACCTCTATGTCCGCATGGTACGGAATCCCACACTTTATGGTCTACCTGCTGATGCTCTCAAGACTGATTATGCTTTGGAGGAAAGGCGTGCTGACTTGGTAAGTCTTACATATATTCCACTTGCTGTTCCTTTCTTTCCTTACTTTATTTTTGATAAAAGTTTCATTAATAGTGCCAAGAAGGCACTGCAAAATATAAAGAACAAAATTTACATTTTCACCATCACTGTTTCATCCCTAGGAACTCTGAAAGTCAACATGTACTGAGACAAATTTTCTATCTTGTTGTTCCTACACCAGAAACATAAATTATGAATACATTTATTTTTTACAAATGATATGTGTCTGTTTTTTGTGTCCTTGAAAGAATCTCTCTTATTCCTCTCTAACCAAATTGTCCATATGGTGCACAAAGGAATGGTTTTCCAGATCTGTTTTTATCTTTTGTACTCTTCTACTCCGCCTCCAGTAAATTCTTCACGTGTTGAGACATCATCTGCTGCACATTTCGTATTAAGAAAAAGATCCTAGATTTGTCTTGTTTGCCTGCAAAGGAAAAATAGATGGCCAATCAAAACCAGCAACTACTGCACAGGGAGAAGCCTTTTCATGTAAAATTCTATGAGCTAAACTCACATTCCTTACAGCAGTCCAACCAAAACAAGAAAACCTTAGAAGATGCTTTTTACTCTCACAACATTTTCCAAGGCCAAGACTTATTCCACCTGTCTGGTTGTTTCTGTAGAAGGGTATACCAGCTTTTAATAAAGATTGTTCTATCCTGACTAGCTTTCCAGTCTGGGAATCTAGCCGGCTCACATCAAGGTTTATAGATTCCAAAATATATAGAAATTTGCTAATCTTCATCCATTTTCCCAGTCATGAAGTTTCTTCTTTAATTTAAATGCCACCGCAAGTCAGTATAACAGTTGGCAACTGTACTATCTTTGCTTACAGCTAAGCTACACAATACAGGAGATTTGTCCATTAATTATTCTATCTCCCAACCAAAAATCTGTCCAGAAGGAATCCTGCAGCCCCTGCCATCATTTAGTTTGACATGGTGCTGGAATTCAGACCAAAGCTTGCATATATTCTTTCAAACTCCTATATAAGTAGGCACATACACTGAATTGGTGCGCCAAATTTGCTTCACCATATTTAACAGTAATTATTGCTTTACAACCTCAATTCTCATTAAAGATCTGCGACCATCTAATTGACAAACTCATATTATGATATTCTCTTGGTTGCACCATATTTTTGTATTGCTAAATGGTGTTCAAATGGCTTGCTCAGATTCTCCATGATTAATAATCTTGCATTCCCGTGAATATTGATGCCAATCATGGAAAAAAGTAATGTCTAATAGTTGAGTGAGTATTTATGTTAATGCTTAGTTTATAGTAGTTAGATCATTCTTGGTGAGTTGATGCCAGCTAGTTGTTTATATGGAGAGCTAATTTCCATTAGTTTGAATGAAACAGAGCAGAGACTAACCTTCAATATAATTATTTCTATGATAATCAATGGTAGTAATATCCAACATATGTGCTGTATTTCTTCCATCCTTGAAATTGTTGTTATGTCTTATTGTACTGATAGTTTGACATTCAAATTGTATTTTGTTCCATCTTAGCTGAAAAGCATCGATAATTCCTTCAGAGTTTGAAATACTTGCTTGCAGGTACATTCTGCTGCTATATTGCTGGACAAGAATAACTTGGTCAAGTATGACAGAAAAAGTGGATATTTCCAGGTGACTGACCTGGGTCGCATTGCGAGTTATTATTATATAACTCACGGGACAATTTCCACGTACAATGAGCATTTGAAGCCTACGATGGGTGACATTGAACTTTGCAGGCTTTTCTCTCTTAGTGAGGAATTCAAATATGTTACAGTCAGACAAGATGAGAAAATGGAATTGGCGAAGCTTCTAGATCGTGTTCCTATCCCAATAAAAGAGAGTCTTGAGGAACCTAGTGCCAAGATCAATGTACTATTGCAGGCATATATTTCACGGCTGAAGCTTGAAGGGTTGTCCCTGTCATCCGACATGGTTTATATCACTCAGGTTTGTTGTGTTGTATAAATAACCTCCTATATAGTTGCTTGTTATTTCTTTAATCATTTGTGATTTGGTGTTATCTGATAGCGAATTATCTAACTTAGTTATTTGCTTTTGCAGAGTGCTGCACGTCTGATGCGAGCCCTTTTTGAGATTGTTCTGAAAAGGGGATGGGCTCAGTTAGCTGAGAAGGCCTTAAAATGGTGCAAAATGATAAGCAAAAGGATGTGGAGTGTACAGACACCACTTCGCCAATTCCATGGCATACCAAATGAAATCTTGATGAAGTTGGAGAAGAAAGATTTGGCTTGGGAGCGTTATTATGATCTTTCATCACAAGAATTGGGAGAGCTTATCCGGTTCCCAAAGATGGGAAGGACATTACACAAGTTCATTCATCAGTTCCCAAAGCTGAACCTTGCTGCACATGTTCAACCAATTACGCGGTCAGTCTTGAGGGTTGAATTGACAATTACACCGGATTTCCAATGGGAAGACAAGATTCATGGTTATGTAGAACCTTTCTGGATAATTGTTGAAGATAATGATGGGGAGTTTATTCTTCATCATGAATATTTCATGTTGAAGAAGCAGTATATTGATGAGGACCATACTTTGAACTTCACAGTCCCAATATATGAGCCACTGCCCCCACAGTATTTCATTCGGGTTGTCTCTGACAAATGGCTAGGGTCCCAGACTGTTTTACCCGTCTCTTTCCGACATCTGATTTTGCCAGAGAAATATCCTCCTCCCACCGAGTTACTAGACTTGCAACCTCTGCCAGTTACTGCATTGAGGAATCCAGCATATGAAGCACTTTATCAAGATTTCAAGCATTTCAATCCGGTTCAGACTCAGGTTTTCACAGTGCTGTACAATTCAGATGACAATGTCTTGGTTGCAGCTCCAACTGGTAGTGGGAAGACTATTTGTGCTGAATTTGCCATATTGAGGAATCATCAGAAAGGACCTGATAGTACCATTCGTGCTGTGTATATAGCTCCACTAGAGGCTCTTGCTAAGGAGCGGTTCAATGATTGGAAAACGAAATTTGGGGACCATCTGGGAATGAGGGTTGTTGAATTAACTGGGGAGACCGCCAGTGATCTGAAGCTGTTGGAGAAGGGTCAACTAATTATCAGCACACCTGAGAAATGGGATGCTTTGTCTCGTCGCTGGAAACAACGTAAGCATGTTCAGCAAGTCAGTCTTTTCATTATTGATGAATTGCACCTGATTGGGGGTCAAGGTGGCCCAATCCTGGAGGTGATCGTCTCTCGGATGAGATATATCTCAAGCCAGGTTGAGAACAAGATCCGCATCGTTGCTTTGTCAACTTCCTTAGCTAATGCCAAGGATTTGGGAGAATGGATTGGGGCTACATCTCATGGGCTTTTCAACTTTCCGCCTGGTGTAAGGCCTGTGCCACTTGAAATACACATTCAAGGTGTTGATATTGCTAACTTTGAAGCTAGGATGCAAGCCATGACAAAACCCACATATACTGCAATAGTCCAACATGCAAGGAAGGGTAAACCTGCACTTGTGTACGTTCCCACAAGGAAGCATGCTCGCTTGACTGCTGTAGATCTGATGACTTATTCAAGCATGGACAGCGAAGACACACCCATATTTCTGCTACGATCTGCAGAAGAGCTGGAACCTTTCGTGGAAAGGATCAATGAACCTATGCTGCAAGAGACACTCAAGTATGGTGTGGGCTACTTGCATGAGGGGTTGAGTGCCACTGATCAGGATATAGTGAAGACATTGTTTGAAACTGGATGGATTCAAGTGTGTGTGATGAACGGTACAATGTGTTGGGGAGTACCGTTATCTGCACATTTGGTGGTGGTCATGGGGACTCAGTATTATGATGGTAGGGAAAATGCACACACTGATTATCCCGTTACTGATTTGTTGCAGATGATGGGCCATGCCAGTCGACCTCTTGTAGATAGCTCAGGGAAGTGTGTTATCCTCTGCCATGCACCACGCAAGGATTACTACAAGAAGTTCTTGTATGAAGCATTCCCAGTTGAAAGCCATCTGCAACATTATCTCCATGATAATTTGAATGCTGAGGTGGTGGTTGGCGTTATTCAGAACAAGCAGGATGCTGTTGATTACCTTACATGGACCTTCATGTATAGAAGGCTGACACAGAATCCAAATTACTACAATCTGCAGGGTGTTAGTCATAGGCATCTGTCTGACCAACTGTCGGAGCTAGTGGAGAATACCATCAGTGATTTGGAGGCAAGTAAATGTGTCACTGTTGAGGATGAATTTTTGCTTTCACCTTTGAATCTCGGTATGATAGCGTCATATTATTATATCAGTTACACCACAATAGAGCGTTTTAGCTCTTCTGTGACCTCCAAGACAAAGTTGAAGGGCTTGCTGGAAATATTGGCGTCAGCATCGGAGTTTGAACAGCTGCCAATACGACCAGGTGAAGAGGAATTGATAAGAAGGTTGATTAATCATCTGCGTTTCTCTTTTGAGAATCCAAAATACACAGATCCTCATGTCAAGGCTAATGCTCTTTTACAAGCCCATTTCTCTAGGCAAATGGTGGGTGGAAATCTTGCTTCTGACCAGCAAGAGGTGCTGCTTTCTGCTACTAGGCTGCTTCAAGCAATGGTTGATGTTATTTCCAGTAATGGTTGGCTTAGTCTAGCACTTCTAACAATGGAGGTGAGCCAGATGGTGACACAAGGGATGTGGGAACGTGACTCGATGCTTCTCCAGCTTCCACACTTCACAAAGGAATTGGCTAAGAAGTGCCAAGAAAATCCAGGGAGGAGTATAGAGACAGTGTTTGATTTGGTGGAGATGGAAGATGATGAGAGGCGTGAGCTCTTGCAAATGTCAGACTTGCAGCTTCTGGATATTGCCCGGTTCTGTAACCGGTTTCCAAACATTGATTTGACGTATGATGTGCTGGACAGTGATAATGTGAGTGCTGGAGATGATGTAAGTGTGCAGGTAACCCTTGAGCGAGATCTTGAAGGTAGAACAGAAGTTGGACCTGTTTTTGCACCTAGATATCCCAAAACCAAAGAGGAAGGATGGTGGCTTGTTGTCGGGGATACAAAGAGCAACCAATTACTGGCCATTAAGAGAGTCACCCTCCAAAGGAAATCTAAGGTCAAGCTGGATTTTGCTGCCCCTGCTGAAGCTGGAACAAGGAACTACACACTCTATTTCATGTGCGATTCTTATCTGGGTTGTGACCAGGAATACAACTTTACTCTTGATGTTAAAGAGGCAATGGCTGAAGATGACAGTTGAAGAGAATGATGTAGCTTTTTTCTTTTTTTTGAGAACTTTTCCGAAGTGCTTTATCTATTTCTGTAGACAATCTAGTGGTGATTAGTTATGTGGCTTTCAGTTGGTACTAGATCCTTCAGTTTCACTGCTGCACCTGCTTTATAGCTTTGATTATCCTTATTTAGGAGGACTTGTTCAGTATGAATTGAAATTGGATGTACTCGGTTTTTCAATTACTTTAATGTTTCTGCTCGTGCCCTGATAGAGAATGGTTGCTCAACTTTGACGATTGAAACTAAACATGTCTTGTTATGTTTTCCTTATTTCTTGAATGGGGGCAGTGGGTATCTTAATCAATTAGATAGGACTAAATCAAAGTTACCCAAATATAGCACAAATGAGGAAGCTGCTCTAATAACATTACCATACTTAAAATAATCAATTACACTAATTGTTGTTCTGATTTTAATCGGATGCATAATTAATCAAGCGAGAGACGCGCCAAGATGAGTGGATATTCAAATGCATATCGAAAGTTATTAGAAATACAAATGCATACCGTACTCATTTGGTTAAAACCAATTCGGCCAGCCAAAGATGCTAAACATATAAGGAAGTATAACTCATATGCATTGCAAAACGGATCTCTAAATGACATGCTGAAACATGCTAATAAGACTTACTGAAGTTTTCTTTTTTTTTAAAATGAAGTTCAAGCTGGAGGATCATGTCACAGTACTACTTCAAAACAGCGAAAATATTGATCAACAATCTAAATAGAAGATTACTGGTGTTGAACACAGCTCGCTTAAGAGCGAAACCAAGAGACCATAAATAGTAGTGCAAATTCCCAGTCTTAGAATCTGTTCATAAAGAGTTGAGAAAACACATATGTAGATTAAGTATTTAAGAAAACATACCTGGGTCGGATTTTAACACAGTGAAACGTCAGAGTTTTCAATTGAAACTGAACCGATTACAGTGTTGGGCTATGGCCATGTTTCAGCCATAAGCCCATGGCCTAATCCTTTTTGGAAAAGGATTGGAATTTTTCTCCTTATTTGGTTTTCAATCCTATTAGAAAAAGGATTTGAGCTCTAATTCTATTTGGAGTTAGATTTTGGCTAAAAACACAACTCCTATTAGAAAAAGGATTCGAGCTGTAATTTTATTTGGCTTTATAAGAAAAAACACAACTCTATAAATAGGATGGCTTGAGAGAATTATTCAATTGCTCATCAGTGATCAGTATTGTTTTGAAAGACAAGGTTTTTTGAGAGAGCTGAGATGAATTTTTTGCGTTCACCTTTGAATCTCGGTATGATAGCGTCATATTATAATATCAGTCACACCACAATAGAGCGTTTTAGCTCTTCTGTGACCTCCAAAACAAATTTGAAGGGCTTGCTGGAAATATTGGCGTCAGCATCGGAGTTTGAACAGCTGCCAATACGGCCAGGTGAAGAGGAATCGATAAAAAGATTGATTAATCATCTGCCAATATCTTTTGAGAATCCGAAATACACAGATCCTCATGTAAAGGCTAATGCTCTTTTACAAGCCCATCTCTCTAGGCGAATGGTGGTTGGAAATCTTGCTTTTGATCCGCGAGAGGTGCTTCTTTCTGCTACTAGGCTGCTTCAAGCAATGGTTGATGTTGTTTCCCGTAATGGTTGGCTTAGTCTAGCACTTCTAACAATGGAGGTGAGCCAGATGGTGACACAGGGGTTGTGGCATCGTAACTCGATGCTTCTCCAGCTTCCACACTTGACAGAGGAATTGGTTAACAAGTGCCAAGAAAATCGTATAGAGACAGTGTTTGATTTAGTGGAGATGAAAGATGATGAGAAGCGTGTGCTCTTGCAAATGTCGGACTTTCAGCTTCGACATATTGCCCGGTTCTGTAACCGGTTTCCAGACATTTATTTGAAGTATAATGTGCTGGACAGTGATAATGTGAGTGCTGGAGACGATGTAAGTGTGCAGGTAACCCTTAAGCGATATGTTGAGCGTAGAAGAACCTAGATATCCCGGAACAAAAGAGGAAGGATGGTGGCTTGTTGTCGGGGATACAATGAGCAACCAATTACTGGCCATTAAGAGAGTTATAACCCTCCAAAGGAAATCTAAGGTCAAGCTGGATTTTGCTGCCCCTGCTGAAGCTGGAACAAGGTACTACACACTCTATTTCATGTGCGATTCTTATCTGGGTTGTGACAAGGAATACAACTTTACTCTTAATGTTAAAGAGGCAATGGCTGAAGATGACAGTTGAAGAGAATGATGTAGCTTTTTTCTTTTTTTGACAACTTCTCCTATATAGTAGTGATTAGTTATGTGGCTTTCAGTTCCTTCCTTTTTGATTAAAGCTAGACTTCAGTTTCAATTCTGCAACTGCTTTTCTCTTTTCTCTTCATGTAGAACAATGTTATATTTTTATAAAATTATTACTTCGATATGTGTGCACTCAATTTCGTGTCCTATGGGCTATGGTACAATAATATTATTGGATGCATCTTCATAAGTGAAATTCACGATTGAAACTAAACATGTCGGGTTATATTTTCCTTTTTTTCCTTGAATTGAGACCCAGGTATTTTATTATTTTCTGTATTTGTTTGTTTGGCTTATTCTATAAGATGTAAAGTTGGACAAATCAAAATCTCGATTCTATTTTTATCCTCATAAATTAGTATGAGGTAACATATAGTCAACTGTTTTCAATATTTTTGAAATTTTAATTTTAAAAGCGTAATAAATTAATAATAAAAATCTAAAGGTTAAACCCCCCTTAAGTCTCTTGACCTATAGGTAATTTATTATAAATTAAGATGATAAATTGAGAATTTTATTACTACTGGTACTAAATAAGGGCTGAATGATAAAAAAGGTAAAAAAATAAAATAAAAAATCATGTGCGTAAGCATCACGCATTCTTCCCATAACTCTTATATAAACCTTTCTTCCCTCTTCAGACGTCTCACTATCTTTTCTCTTTCTACAAAAAAATAAATAAAACCTCTGTTATAAGAAACACAGCAACCGTACGGTTAACAATGTCTAGCGCCGAGCCTAAACACGAGCACAGAGAAGAGGAAGAAGCCGCTGGAGCCGATGACGAAGATACCGGAGCTCACGTTGCGCCGATTGTCAGGCTCGAGGAAGTTGCAGTAACAACTGGCGAAGAGAACGAAGATGCTATCCTCGATTTGTAATTGATTTCTCTGATAATTGTGTTTATTTTTTCGATCTGCTTCGATTTCTAGGAATGATGAATAACTTTAATACTTGTGAATTTATCGTATCAGGAAAGCGAAGCTTTATCGATTCGACAAAGAGGGAAATCAGTGGAAAGAGAGAGGTGCTGGTACTGTTAAGCTTTTAAAGCATAAGGAAACTGGAAAAGTTCGTCTTGTTATGCGTCAATCTAAGACTCTTAAGATCTGTGCCAATCATCTAGGTTTGTTTATAGTTCGATTTGTGACCTTTATTTGCATGATTAAAGTTTATTTTATTCAATTATGTGTTTCATTTGATTCGGGATCTGAGATTTGGACTCTGATTCGGTGCTATGCAGTTATTCCGACGATGACAGTTCAGGAACATGCTGGAAACGAGAAGTCCTGTGTGTGGCATGCCGCAGATTTTGCTGATGGTGAATTGAAGGATGAATTTTTCTGTATTAGATTTGCATCGTTAGAGAGTAAGAATTTCTGAATCTGCTGGTTCGGTTAATTTTTACTAGATTCTAGGGTCTTGTTTGATAGATGAAGCTTTCAATTAGCTAAAATCTGCAATTTCCTTTTGTCGTGATTGCCTTTGCCCCATAATTGCTAGTCATTATAATGGCTCCTTTTATGCCTATGGTTATAACATTAGATTTTTGTTTGGAGAATATTTCATTCCCACTGAATGCTGTAATGGGTGCACGTATTGTAGTTGTAGATTTCTGAAGTATTCAGATCAATTGAGTATAGAAGCTCACCAGTTAATTACTGTACTTTAGGTATGCTTTGTAGTTTCTCATTTTCTTCTTGTTAGTCACCAACTCAAGCTTGTCTCTATGATTGGAAAACCTACACTAACATACACTTCTGTTGTGTGCATATGGTTTATTTCGTTTTGATTGTTCATAAACTATTAGTCTAGTTGAAACTACCATTTACTCCACTCTGGAAGATTGAATGTAGTGACAATCATAAGATTAGATCTTCAGGTCTGAGGTGTAAAATTCTGCAATTCATCTACTTGAGCGTAATTGGGATGCAAAGGTGTTCCAGTAGTTTTGGCTTATGAGGCTATGATTGTTGTTTGGATTAGGTGATGGATCAAGGCAAGATTATAGTACCACCAAATTATGTTTTGGGTAGTTTGTTGGTGTAATTTAGATAACCAAATGTTTCGATAGATTTTGAGTTGGGGTGTGTGGGGGAGGGGGTAGAAGTGTACTTAGATGGACAGGGAAATAGAATTTTGCAAGCTCTGCTCCTCTTCAAGTCTATATAAGTTGTCTATATTAGAACCAATGGCTTGATGTTTCAGATGTTGAAGTTTAATAGAGGTTATTTCATATCCGAGGTACCTATTCTCAACATGAGATGTTAGTTATGGCTTTAATGGTGTGTATTCCTTGAATATATATATAAGGTAATAGCAAGAAAGAGTGATCAAGGAAGTTAAGATACCCTACGTAGTACATCCTTGCCTTTTGAAAATTGAAACAGTGGTTGAAGCATGAATAGAACTTGGAAGAGTAAAATCCTTATTAAGGTTGATTGCAGAAACTAGGGAATTGATGAGTCCCTAAATTCTTTTCCAATTCTAGACTTAAGTGCAGGCTCAAGATTATAGATGTACAAATTTTACTGCTCAACATTGTGCGCTATGAATAAAGATCATCTCACCTGTGACTTAGGTTGTCGCCAGTCTGATCTCTTCCATGCCTTAGGCCCTCCTATATAGTAAATCCACGACTTTGCTGACGAGGGAAAAGCAAACCAAACCTTAAACTGATAGGTGACTTCTCTCTGCAAGGGAATAACATGTATATTATTTTTGTTTAGTGGCAACATACATATTATCTTATACCTATCAATTATTTTGGTTGTGTTTTTATTCTCATTATATTAAATTGGTAATACTATCATACGAGTAGTACCAATATTATACCTTACTAAGATTTAGGCGAGGTTGGGATTAGCTGAGAGGGGAGTGATGGGACAACTGTATGTAAGGTAGACTCCATGTTTCTGCCTTCTGCTATAGTTCCGAAATTACCAAATTCCAGAAATAATGTCATTGCAGGCCTCACAGGTTTTGAATCTAAAACATTAGACTGCAAATCAGATGCACCGTTAGAAGGCAAAACCACAACCTCAGTCTACAGAAACCCATTAAAAATGCCCCCATTTATGATTCTCCAAACAGGAACTGCCAATGACCTAAGTGATTGATCTTTTATTATTAAGTTGTTGAGAACCTTTAGGTCATATCCTCTTGATTGAGGTCCGTGTAGTGTTGAGAGTGAATTGATCTTGGACTTCTCTCCAGAATCCTAGGTACTGGTACAAGGAATCATGGTTAATACTGCATGCTTGGTTACCTACTTGAGAGTGATTGCTCTTTAGGGACTTGAGGACTGGTGCTTTATAAATTATCAACTAGGACTATTGGATTATAAGGCGTGGAATGAACCTAGCCGGGTATGGACTCCTGAACTGGATCTTCATTGCAGTTTTTACTCAACATATTGGAGTTAATTACACTTTCAAGGGATTAGAAAATTTCCCATGATTGGGGATAAGTCAAACACTGGATGAGACTTGAGAGGGGCCCTGGAAGTGATTGTGAGGATGTTGTAGTTTAATAGTATGTATGATCATGTCCCCGATTCTTTTATTTTGCTGCCTGTTTTTTATTTTTTTTTCTCCTCAGCAAAAATGATGTCTTAGTGTAATGTTTTTATTCTTAGATTGCAAGACCTTCATGGAGACTTTCCAAGAGGTTACTGAATCACAAACGAAGAAAGAGGAAAATGTGGATGCATCTAATGCTGCTGGCCTACTTGAGAAGTTGAGTGTCGAAGATAAGAAACCAGAAGAGAAGAGCGAGGAAAAAACTGAAGAGAAAGTTAAGGAAGATGACGTCAAAGAAGAGAAGCCTTCAGATAATGCAGAGAAAAAGGAAGAGGCTGCTTCAGCCTGAGAGATGTATGTCATGTACGCCAAATGTAGTTGGTGAGGTTTGTAGCACCTCCATTTTTGCCAACCAAATTTGGGTATAGTCTGGTCAAGTGCAAGGGGTGTTTACTTCTAGGTGTTGCTTTGGGGCGGGGTCGTCTGGGGTTGGGGGAGGTTGTTATTTGTTTGTCCATCTCTGAGGTGTTTCAACATCTTGGGGAAACTCACGTCAAGGTTGGGTCTTGTTCTTTGATTGAGGTATTGTGTTGGTCTATTGTAAGTCTTGGTATTATATACCCAACTGTACGTTGTTTATGTAAGTCCTCTTTTTGAGGCTGTTCTTTCTCTGTGTCCTTGGTTCCATATAATTCAATTCATTACTTATTTGGGGAAGTTGAATCCACTGGTAGGTTTGCTGATTATTTTTAAAATTTTAAAAAATGGCATGGTAAGAGAAACAGGCTCTCTTTTGGTCTCGTCAGTTGAGTATCGCGAAGGAAATCACTCGGTTTGTATGATATATAGACACAAGATGCTGTTCACAGTACTGCACTGTGATCAGACTGCTGTCTATTTTGGGCCTCTTGGAACTTTGATTTAAAGAGTTCTCTGGATATTTGGCTTACTTTCAATGTACGTATAAGAGTGGAGTTGTCTCAAACTGCGTGGGCTCACTTGGTCATAAGCTACTGACCTCGTATGTGGAATCCTCAATGAAACAGCTCGAGCGGATAATGAAGCTTCCTCTTTTGATTTACGTAAAAAGAAAACAAGATATGTAGTAATTACCGAATACATAACCTTTCTGTGTAGCCATTCTTTGATTACAGGCAATGTTAATGAGCTGCATATAGTTATTGGTTTTATACAATTTATTTTCTTTATGACTTGTTACGCCTTTTAAGAATATCAGTAGTTAAACTGTTCATGGTTCGTCTAGAAAGCTACATTAGCATTTTAAATATAACTCCTAGGCTTGAGTTCTACGTACTAGACAGATCGATGAAGGATATTTACTGTTTATGACCTAACTATAAAATTCTAATATGATTATATATTTGAAGTTGAACCTCTTCCTCTTACGTTATTTACCCACTAAAAATGTTATACTTAAAAATAAAATTGTACAACAATTATATAGTAACCCCGATCATTAAGCCAAGACATTCGTCCTGTATTGGGTACCTTGAAATATTTGAAGCAAAAAAAACTGACCACCTCTCCAAGAAACCACTATCTTGTTCTTCACTCAATTTTCCCTATCTTTTCGAATCTTAACAAATTGACTTCTTTTATTTTTACACACATATATATTTTTTCCTTATGTCTTTCATTTTCCCTGTATCAATTTCCTCAAAAACAAAATATGGACAATGCAAATGGCACCACTTCCTGTATCCAAAACTCACATTCTTCTTCCGTTATTGCGAGCCCTGACGCAACCTTAGGGCGCCATTTAGCCCGAAGGTTAGTTGAAATTGGCGTTGAGGATGTTTTCTCAGTGCCTGGTGATTTCAACCTCACACTTCTTGATCACCTAATTGCTGAGCCAAGGCTGAAGAATGTTGGTTGTTGCAATGAGCTTAATGCTGGATATGCTGCTGACGGGTACGCGAGGTCTCGGGGTGTTGGTGCGTGTGTTGTCACGTTCACTGTGGGTGGTCTTAGTGTGATTAATGCAATTGCTGGTGCTTATAGTGAGAACCTCCCTATTATCTGCATTGTTGGAGGTCCTAATACTAATGACTATGGAACTAATAGAATTCTGCATCATACTATTGGATTGCCTGATTTCAGCCAAGAACTTAGGTGTTTTCAGACTGTTACATGTTATCAGGTAAGTTAAGTTCTAGTTTTGGATTCAGAATTTGAAGTTTACAGGTTACTATGTACTATGTTAAGATTGACAAGTAAAAGTGAAAATTTATTTTTGGAATCCTAGACAAGTAAAAGTGAACAGAGAGAGAGAGAGTACTACTTTTTATGTAGTTCTTTAGATAAACAAACTTTATTTCTAAGAACTTGAAGATTCTATGTCCAAATTTACACAGAAAAGTAAGTACTTTGACCCTTATACACCGAACCATGTCAAACACGAAATAGAAGATGGTGCTTATATCCAAAGAAAAATTCTACTCCTGTTTCTTTCCCCCATTAATACAATGCAAAAAGTTCCCTACATATCCAACTAATTGTATGTTTCTATGTCTGGTTGTGTTAGGCTGTGATAAATAACTTGGAGGATGCACTTGAACAAATTGATAGAGCAATTTCTACTGCTCTAATAGAAAGAAAGCCAGTATATATTAGTATCAGTTGCAATTTGCCAGCCACCCCTCATCCAACTTTCAGCAGGGATCCTATTCCATTTTTTCTATCACCTAGGTATGTGCTACATTATCAATTATTCTTACATTTATAAAGAACTTGCATGACAGTGGCGGAAATACACTAGACGTAGTGAGTTCACATATCCATCGTGTCTAGCTCAGAGTATATATGTGTGAAAAAATGGCACATATATAAAGAGCAGAACTCATTGACTCATAATTCTGGATCCGTCGTCGTTACATGAGAGCTATTTTTTAACTTACCTTTAGAACTTACAATGGCGGATCAAGACTTGACACATGAGTTTGACTACATATGTGTATGTGAAAAGAAACTGGCACATATATAAAGAGCAGAATATACTTACTGACAATGGCAGAGCCATGATTTTTACTAGGGGTTCAAAATATAATGAAGTAAACACACGAAGAAGCCAAAATAATTTTAATTATTATTATGTATAAAGACGGTAATTTTCCCGTCGACGGAGGTTCGGATGAACCCCTCAACCCTACCTACCTGGCTCCGCCCCTGATGGCGGATCAAGACCAAATGCAGTGGGTTCGCCTAAATATGCGTGTGTGAAAAGAAATTAGCACATATATAAAGAGAAGAACTTGCTGACCTTAAATCTTGGATTCGCCACTGTTGTATGTGAAATGTTCTTTCAACTTACAATTATAACTTATTGATACAGGCTAAGTAGCAAGAAGGGGTTGGAAGCTGCAGTGGATGCAGCAGTGGCCTTTCTAAGCAAGGCAGTAAAACCAGTCATGATTGGAGGGCCAAAGCTAAGAGTAGCTAAAGCTTGTGATGCTTTTGCTGAACTTGCTGATTCTTCTGGTTATGCCATGGCAATGATGCCATCAGCAAAAGGGCTAGTGGCAGAAAAACACCCTCACTTCATTGGCACTTACTGGGGTGCGGTAGGCACATCCTATTGTGCGGAAATTGTTGAATCAGCTGATGCTTACTTGTTTGCTGGTCCGGTTTTTAATGACTATAGCTCTGTTGGGTACTCGCTTTTGATCAAGAGAGAAAAGGCATTAATCGTGCAGCCTGATAGAGTTGTAATTGGAAATGGACCAGCATTTGGTTGTGTCCTAATGAAAGATTTCCTATCTGAACTAGCAAAGAAAGTAAAGAAAAACGAAACTGCTTATGATAACTATCGTCGGATCTTTGTTCCTGAAGGAACTCCTCCAAAGCCGGAGCCTAACGAACCTCTAAGAGTCAATGTTCTGTTCCAACATGTACAGAAGATGCTTTCAGCTGATACAGCTGTGATTGCTGAGACAGGGGATTCTTGGTTCAATTGCCAGAAGCTTAAGTTACCAGAAGGATGTGGGTATGTGACTAATAAAAGCTTAACAGCCTGGTATCCATTTTATTTTGAGTCATTAGACGAAAAAAGTTCGTGTTGCAGGTATCAATTCCAGATGCAATATGGCTCCATTGGTTGGTCTGTTGGTGCTACCTTGGGCTATGCACAATCTGTACCCAAAAAACGTGTCATATCTTTCATCGGTGATGGAAGTTTTCAGGTAACAAAATGACTTTCGTCATACCAGACACTATTATTCGAGTGGAGAACTAAATTATGGATAACAGGTTACTGCACAAGACGTGTCAACAATGATTCGTCATGACCAAAAGACTATCATTTTCTTGATTAATAATGGCGGTTACACCATTGAGGTTGAAATCCATGATGGGCCTTATAATGTGATCAAGAACTGGAACTACACTGGTTTGGTAGATGCACTTCACAATGGTGAAGGCAATTGCTGGACCCAGAAGGTAAGTGTTACTTTTATTTACTCTACACAGAAATGCTCATCCATACTTCAACGAAAAACAGGGCTGTTTTCAAATTGTTTTATGACTGGATTGCAGGTAAGGACGGAAGAGGAGCTGATTGAAGCAATTGCAACTGCAACTGGAGAGAAGAAACATTGTTTATGTTTCATTGAAGTTATTGTTCACAGGGATGATACTAGCAAAGAGTTACTTGAATGGGGATCTAGAGTCTGTTCTGCCAATGGACGTCCACCAAACCCTCAATGAGTCTGCTAGATTAGTTTTTTTTTCCAGCACGTCTTACTACTTCTTCAATAACACCAGAGCCGTATTAGAATTCTTTGTTTAAACTCAGTAATCAGAATTAATTACCATTTAATAAAATGGATTTTTGGACTATTACCTGGCTCCATCTATTACAGTTTCACCCAGCTGATTTAACAATTCCCCTTCAATATCAGACGGTTTTGGAAATTAAAGGTTCAATGTTAGGAGTCAGCTTCTAATTCTCACTGCCTAAACGATTCACTAGTTAATGAAGGCAAAAATTTAGCATTTCAAACTGTTAAACCTCTCTGATATGTATATAGCTAGATAACTAGCAGACTACCATATGAGAAAAGACTCATTGCTCAAAATGAACTGGATAAGAAAGTATGACCAAGAACAATGCATTACTGACAAACAGTCGTAATTCACTCCGTTTGGGACATTGTCACATCTTCACAATATTAGCAGGCCAATACACCATTTGGTAAAAGAAAAAACAGATCGAGATGAATCAGTAATTAAGGAGTAAATATCATAAACTTGAGCCAAAAATGGCTCCCAGAGTTTCAATACACCTCAGAAACAGAAACACATTAGGTTTAGGTGCCATTAGCACAATGTAACTACTGAAATTTAACTGCAAACACTGAAAATAAGACAAAAACGCAATAACCTAGAGCGACGGAGATATGTCAAAAGCTAAGAACTGCAAAGTACAATTCTACTTAGATCTCTGCCTCATCTTTCGGCGCTTCCTCTTCAATCTCCTCATACGCTTCTTCTTCCACTGAAATGAAAAAAAATGCCCAGTGAGCACCAACACATATTAATCGCAATAAAAAAAGTAGCACATGTAAAGCTTCATCAATGGAGCATGATTCACAAATCGGTAGTGATAGGAGTATTATTCTGTATCAATCGACTTAAAATTCTAGATCCGTCTGTATTAAACTACAATCTAAAAAGGGAAAAAACGAGACGAAGACGTCTACGTACCTTGGCTCTCATGGTGAATCAGCTACGACGGAGGGGAGTCTATTTACTTCCTGGCCGGAGTGAACTTACCGATGAAGAAGAGAATCTGCACGATGAAAACGGTAGTGAGGACTGGTGGAATATAAAAGGAAACCCTAAGAGTGGATATGACTAATGGGCTTTGGGGAAATAATCCGAGAAATGGGCCCAGTCTCTGTAGGATTTGCACCAAGTAACCATAATATATGCCTTATGTTTAATTTTTGAAGTTTTTTAGACATTCAATTTATGTTTGTATTCCTACATGAATTCATTAATTTTCTTAAAACAAAAAACATATAGGAGTAGTTAAAATTACATTTTATGAAAATACTATAAATGTTCATAATATATATTTTAATACATTTGTATTTGATCAAATGCAAATTTATTTGATCTCATACATGATAACAAAGAAAAAAGATTGTTCGATCATTAAATTATGAAGTAATTCTTTTATATAAAAATACGAATCAGAATAATGGAAAAAGTATCAAAATGTGCTGCATGGATTGTCAAGAATGAAATGATATAAGTTAGTAGTTAATTAAATTTACTAGCTATAGCTAAAATCAACATCTCCAAGAAAGAGAAACATCACATAAATTTAAAAACCTACTTTCTACTAGTCTCCAACCTAATTTTCATGCCTTATTGAAATATATATTATTGTTTGTTCAATTTTTTATAGTATATAATATTAACAAATTAATACACAAAAAATTTCATCCCGTCAATCGCGTTCTAACAAACAAATAAGGAATAATATTTTCATAAAAACATATAATAGATGAAAATATTCATAAATTTTCTTTGATTTGAAATGCATCAAAACTGGAGTTGCAAATTATCAATCTGCAACTCCAATCAATTCATGATAAATATATATTGATTAATCGTCACTCAAAGGTATAATCCAAATCCTATATAGAATTCAACTTTCATTTTCCATTATTATAGCCTTAACCTAAAAATTAAATATTTTTCCCCCAAATTCTATTCTTATCAAAACAGGAAAAATTTAACCAACCATTTCAATTTTTGTTCTTTTTCTCAGTTTTCCTCATCTTGCAATCTCCGTCTCTCTTTAAACCTATCGTCCTATCCACAACTGACGACTACTTTAATTACATAATTTTTATTATTACTATATTCAGTTAACATAAGCCTACAGGAATACTTTTTTCTTTTTTTTTGTTTGGAGAGAAATTGTAGCTTCAAGCAAAAATGGGTACTGGTTCATCGAAGAACACAGACAGTAGCTCGCATGGCAGCGAAGATAGAGAAGATCATGGAGGAGGACAGCTTTACGTTTCTCTGAAAATGGAGAATTATAAGCTTAAAGGAGAACTCATTCCTCATGTTTATGGTTCCGTTCCATTAATTGGCTCATGGGATTCATCTAAAGCTGTAATTTCATCACTCTCACCTTTTTCAGTTTTTCCTTTTGATTTTTGTGATTAATAACTAATGCAGTTTTGTTTTTCATTATCAGCTTCCGATGGAACGGGAATCAACTTCTATGTGGGAACTGAGTTTCGTTGTTCCTCGTAATCACGGTTAGTTTACTATTGTGATTTTGTTAAATTTGTGGTTAATTCATGGAATGAAAATCTATGGTAATTTCATTTGCGGATTTGCGGAATGGAGTTATAGAAGGATTAGTATAGTTGACCCGAACTAAATAGGGATTGGGAAGTAGTTGATTGATTGATTTTTATTTGTATAGAGACATTGGACTTTAAGTTCCTTTTGAAGCCAAAGTACAATCATGAGCCTTGTATAGTGGAGGAAGGCCCAAACCGTGTACTTATTGCTGGAACGTTGCAAGGTGATGGGCGTTCAGCCTCGTTTAAGCTGGAAAATGAAGAGATTATTGAATATAGAGTGTTTGTTAAAGCAGACAGAGTTTCACCATTTGACCTTGCGGCTAGTTGGAGGGCCTTTCAGGAAAATCGCAGGCTTTCTACTGTTCGAGGAGTACCAGATGTTAGCATAAATTCGACACCAGCAATGGGTGCAGAGGTAAGATGTTGCTATTGTTTGACTGCTAATTGTAAATGCTGCTTTGTAACCATGGTGCTAGATGCCTGTGATTACTGTCTTACTATCTTGTTAGATGATCTCTCCATGTGAATGAGTGTTTGTTTAACATGCTGGAGCTCAGAAGCCTTGTGCTCACATTTGGTGCAAATGTGAGAAACTATATTACAGGTTATTGCATCAACAGATATTGTACATTTAAATTTAAAGGGAGATAATTTGCTCTTCTTTAGGAGTAAAATGAGGTTGCAGATTTTGATATTGAAGATGTTTTAATTTTGAATAAGGATGTTTAGCCTATGCTTTTTGTTACTATATGTGTAATTTTGAGGAAACTATTGACTTTCATGTTTCTTATCAGTGCTCCTAGTTTTTCTGCTTCTGTCTATTGGTCAAATTATTCTTGTTTTTAGCTTCTTCAGATGTCTGTGGATGAATATTGCTTACCAGGGTTGTTTCTATAGATTTTGGCAGTTGGATATGTTTTTCATATATGCCTTAATTATATTAATTATATTTTAAACATTTTTTCTTGACAGCATGGCTCTTCGGCTAGTCTAGAGCTTGATCTTGAACATTATGTTGTCCCTGCTCCAGCAACATCTGCACCGGTTTATGCTGCTAACTTGACAGAAACTCCTAGGTCTCTAACACGTAAAGGGGTATTTTCTGGGACAGATGGCACTATCATTCCAAGGCCTTCCTCAAAAGATGGTCACACTTCAAATGATCGATCTGCTACAATAAAGGTTCTCGTGGTGCCTTTTGACTTGAGGTCTAGTTTGACTATAGGACTTGAGATTTTGTCTATCTTTATCCCATTCTTATCAAAACAAAACAAACCCCCAAAGTGCGCTTGAGATTCAGAGTTTTACTAATTCTCTGACTATTTTTTTTGGGATAAGTGTTTCACTGTAATGCATTCCCATAATTTAAGAGAAATAGGCATTAGCATTTTTGTAATACATGATAATGATCATCATTTTACTCAGTAAAATGAAAAAGCTATTCAACCCTGGTACTTATATTATATACTAATCTTTTTCATCCTCCAGCTAAAAATCTTGTATAGTAAGCATCTTTGACACTCATATAACCAATCATAGAGGCTATTTAAATTTTTATCCCATATTATGCACAGAAGGTATTACATTCGCTGGAAACATGCATGTTATGTGACTAGTGTTCTCCCTACTTAATTTACCAACCTTATGCTTTTATTCATTCTACATGTATTACCATTTTCTTTCAAATTGTACCTCATTGGTTAAGAGCCACAGTTGATTCACATTATGCCGTCTTTCTGTCATCCAGCAGATGGAAGTAATTGTCCCGGATCCAACTAGAGTCCCCTCAGGGTCTGGTACGGTTGAATCCAAGTCCATGGGTGCGTTCTCGTCTTTGCAAAAGCAAGATAGTTACAGGGGAATCCTTGTAGATAGGGGTGTGGGATCTCCAAGACTAGTAAAATCACCCAGTACAACCGGTTTTACTCTTGATCTCAAGCCTGATTCAGATGCCAAGGTGTGTAGAAATCTAATGTTTCCGTTGTGATGAATATTGTAATAAAATATCTGTTGTATCTTGGTTTATGCATCTGATGTATCATTCTTTTAAATTGTTTAGAATGTGATGCCAGCTGCTGCAGGAGCAGTTGCAGCTGGAGCTGTAGCTGATCAGATGCTTGGGCCAAAGGAAGACATGCATCTAGCAATCGTTCTGGTATTTTTTCTTTTATGATGAAGAACTGATAAGCACGTTAGTTTTGGTGTAAGCTTGTCAACTTTGATGCTGATGTTGTGCTCTCGGATTGGATTTCCTATGTTCTTGGAATAGTATCTTATGCAATGAATGATCTTAGGATTTGCTTATGCTTCTTGCAGGTTGGCTTGCCAGCTCGTGGCAAAACTTTTACTGCCGCTAAGCTTACTAGGTATCTTCGATGGTTAGGTCA